CAAAAGAAGACATTTATGTGACCAATAAACATATGAAAAAAAGCTCACCATCACTGGTCATTAGAGAAATGAAAATCAAAACCACATTGAGATATCATCTCACACCAGTTAGAATGGTGATCATTAAAAAATCTGGAGACAACAGATGCTGGAAAGGATGTGGAGAAATAGGAACACTTTCACACTCTTGGAGGGGATGTACATTAGTTCGACCATTGTGGAAGACAGAGTGGCAATTCCTCAAGGATCTAGAACTAGAAATACCATTTGACCCAGCAATCCCATTACTGGGTATATACCCAAAGGATTATAAATCATTCTATTATAAAGACACATGCACACATATATTTATTGTGGCACTGTTCACAATAGCAAAGACTTGGAACCAACCCAAATGCCCATCAATGATAGACTAGATAAAGAAAATGTGGCACATATACACCATGGAATGCTACGCAGACATAGAAAGTATGAGTTAATGTCCTTTGCAGGAACATGGATGAAGCTGGAAACCATCATTCTTGGCAAACTGATACAAGAACAGAAAACCAAACACTGCATGTTCTCACTCATAAGTGGGTGTTGAACAATGAGAACACATGGACACAAGGAGGGGAACATCATACATGGGGGCCTGTCAGTGGGCGAGAGGGCTAGGGGAGGGATAGCAGGGCGTGGGGAGACTGGGAAGGGATAACATTAGGAGAAATACCTAAGGTAGATGACGAGGAATGGATACAGCAAACCACCATGCCAGGTGTATACCTATGTAACAAACCTGCACTATCTGCACATGTACCCCAGAACTTAAAGAATAATTTTTAAAAAAGGAAAGCTAAGAGGGGGTCAATCACTATAAAATCACAAAAGACACAAATTAACTGAAACTGGATTGTTCACTAATTTCTAGACTCTTAACAAGAAAAAAATCTTACTGAATTGCATAGAATGCATTCATTACTTTACAGACTTGATAAGAAACCTAGGGAGCATATGGGTTCAATAAGGACTCATTTCATGAATTCATAGATGATATCCCATAACTTGTAATTAAGGAAAATTAGAAATATTTTTAGAGTATTCTTTGAGGTCACAGAGAAAATGGTGCCATTTTCAAACATTTCTCTTTTACCCACTGGTTAAATTAATATCGAACTAGGAAATCCATGACTTCTATATCCATACGAAAACATTGGGTTCATAATGACATTTTACTTACCAACATTAATAATAATAAACAATAGATGTTATACCTAAGGCATTTTAATTTTCTTTTTTTTTCTTGAGACAGGGTCTTGCTCTGTAACCCAGGCTGGAGTGCAGTGGTACAATCTCGGCTCACTGCAGCCTCCTCCCCCAGGGTTCAAGTGATTCTCCTGACTCAGCCTCCCAAGTAGCTGGGATTACAGGCAGGCACTACCACACCCAGCTAATTTTTGTATGTTTAGTAGAGATGGGGTTTCACCATGTTGTCCAGTTGGTCTCGAACTCCTGACCTCAAGTGATCCACAAGCCTTGGCCTCCCAAAGTGCAAAGATTACAGGCATGAACCACTGCACCTGGCCACATTTCAAATTTTTATAGCTATTAGGAAATATCTGGCTTAGCATTTTAATGACCCATGGGAGAATTTCTGTTACCTCGCCAAGTTATCCCATTCTGTAGTAAATTTTTCTAGGAACACTTCAACGACATTCATACAGTCATGGTAATTTCTTGTTCTCTGAAGATCCTCTTCCCTTTGCAAGCACAGATTGTTAGACTGATGGCACAGATCAAGCCACTGATCATTTAAATGATTTATTTCCTTGTGTTCAGGTGACTCCTCCTTCTTTGTTAACTTATTCACCTTTTCTATTATTGTGTTCACGGATGCCTGTTTGCTCTGTAGTTTCTTAACAAAATCCTAAAGGATAACAGCAACAAAAAATAGGTAATGTGTAAAGAAATCCCCAAATGAATACAGAGAGGAACACAGACATATGACTTTAAACACTCTAAGTTTCTTAATATGAAAAAACTGAAGAATGTACAATAAGTCATGGGAAACAAAGAGAAAATCTAAAAATCACCATATCTGTTTATGAACATAAATTCCCAAGAATCAGGGTAGCTGTGATATATTCTTTTATTGCACTATTTCGAGAGGTGTAAAGAAAAACTAGTAAATGTGAAACATTGTAGTCATTAATGAAAAAAGTCATTATCTTACCTTGAAGTGCGGCCTTAGTTTTCTAAAAATTTTTAAAGAGTTCATGCTTTTCCAAATGTGTTTTTAAACTAAAAGTGCTTTTGTTCTCAAGATATCAGGACATTAGGATATTTCCTAGATCTGTTGAGCCCTGGGTCTGTCAAGTTCTGGATCTGCTCAGTAAACATGATTGACTTGTTTCCTTACCTAAATATCCTGCGACTAAGAATGCCTAACTTTCTGGGAATGCAGCCCAGCAGGTCTCAGCCTCATATTATCCAGCCCCTATTCAAGATGGAGTTGCTCTAGTTTGAACGCCTCTGACAGAAACCTTCGAAATGTAAGAGACAAGACAAAATAGCCTGGGTCACCAGGTGGTCAGTGGTGCTATGGACAAAGTTGGGGAAGGCTGGAGTCCATTCACACACTGGAAAGACAATGGTTTAGATTCACCTACTCCCTGCACATACAGCAATAGGAAATCTCTCTCTCATATACCATCTCTGCCAGCCCAACACCTGCTCAGAGGATCATTTCTTTGGATAGTGGTTCCTCCAGCGGGTTGGTTCATGGGCTTCCACACTCTCCCTCTGCTCCCTCCCATTTCCATTTACTTCTTCCCCCCTCCCACTACCCATAAAAATTTCTTAAATCCCCTGACTGATGATATATGAAATTTTGTCCTTAAAGCTAGGTTCAATCGCAATTAAAATGTTAATAAAACCACAGTATCATCTTGAATGTTTTAAGTATGTGCATACCCAAAACAGATACAACAAAATATTAGCATTGTTTATTATCCTGAATAGTAGTATCACAGATGATTTAAATTTGCTTCTTAAGACATTTCTGTGTTTTCTAAGCCTTTTATAGTAAAACTTTTCTTATAAAATACATTAAAAAAATTAAATTTCTAGAATGGCTCACAAGTTTTTTTAAACAAGAGTTCACACTTTTGAGAAAAAAGAAATCTAATTTATTATCCTTATTCCCTTTTTATTCTGCACTTGCAAACAGTACTCCAGTAGACAATATATTGACCCATAAACACAGAGCAAAAATAAATCTTAAAGTTTATTAAAAATAGGATCCAACTTCCAATCAAGTTAATATACTTATAATTCTCTTTTTTGTTTGTTTGTTTTTGAGACAGTCTCACTCTGTGGCCCCAGTTGGAGTGCAGGGGCACAATCATGACTCACTGCAACCTCCACTTCCCAAGTTCAAGTGATTCTCATGCCTCAGCCTCCCAAGTAGCCAGGATTATAGGCGTGTGCCATGGAAGGCTAATTTTTGTATTTTTAGCAGAGATGGGGTCTCACCGTCTTGGCCAGGCTTCTCCTGGCTTCAAGTGATCTGCCCACCTCAGCTTCCCGAAGTACTGGGATTACAGGCATGAGCCACCACACCTGGCCACAATTTTCTATGTATTTGAAATTATTTAAATTATATATAAATATATAATGTAAACTGTATTTATATTATACTTTAAATTAATTACATATTGACTAAATATATAATTAATGAATTGAAAGCTTATAGTCCTACAGCTTTAGCATAATACGGTGATAAAAAACTAAAAAAATCATAATGTTTCATGTTTGCTTAGTCTCAGAGTCTTCTGACTAAGCAGTCTACTCTGTAGACTAAATCACACCTACTTTTTTCCAGGAACAATGTAGAGGATGAATGTCTTCTGATGCAAGTGGCCGTCTGAAGCTTCAATAATATATTTGAATGTTTACTTTATAATCTGTTTTCCCTGGCACCAAATGAAGTTTGTTGAGATTTGCTATTCCTGAAAACAGCAGTCCCCAAACATTTTGGCAACAGGGATGGGTTTTGTGGAAGACAATTTTTCCATGAATGGGGCTGGTTTCAGGATGAAGCTGTTCTACCAAGAATCGTCAGACATTAGTTAGATTATTGTAAGGAGCGCGCAACATAGATCCCTTGCATGCGCAGTTCACAATAGGGTTTGTGCTTCTATGAGAATGTGATGCAGCCTCTGATCTGACAGGAGGAGGAGCTCAGGCAGTAAGGCTTGCTCAGCTCCCACTGTGCGGCCAGGTTCCTAACAGGCCGTGGACCAGAACTGGTTCATGATCTGGGGTTTGGACAACCCTGCCTTAAACTTAAAGAGTTGTATTAATATTTAAGGACCGACAGACACTCAGGCATATTGAAGTGAATACACTGAACACATTTCAACTTTTCTACTCTGTTGGCCTCTTTTATCTCCCCTGGGTACAAATTAATTCCCACCTTAACTTGGGAAACCATGTTCTGTGCAATATTCAGCTCCAGTTCAGAGTGCCTCCTCTTCATGTTCTGCAGTTGCTGATCTGCATCTTGCAGGTAAATCCAGAGCTCAGCCTTCAGGTGCTTGATGTCTTCCCAACCCTGAGTTAAGTTCTGGGCCTGGACAAGCCTTTGTTCAATCTTGAGGAAACAGATAAAAGTTAGCAACCATATATGGAAACGTTTACAGTTAATGAATCAGAGATGTAATTCTCTAGCTCATCTGTGTGCTAATCTGACACACATACACAACCACAAACACACACACAAGCACAAACACACACACATACAATACATAAATCTGAAAAGTACTTCTTTATTTGCTTCAGGAAAAGCAGATTTTCTTTTGTATTTAGGATTTCTAAAGACTTTAAATGTCTACAAGTTATGCTATATGGTTTTAATCAGTGTTGTGAAACTCTAAGTCTAAAGCTGCTCTAATGGTTTTTTGCATTGGGCATTTCAGTAGATTCATCTGACTCATCAATTTGGTGTTGGGGTTAACTAGAAAAGACTTCGCTGTTCTCTATTGCACATTTGTTCATCTTTCTTACAACAACCTGAATTATAATGTTTTGGCTATGCCTTTAGATCTGCTTCACTGGTTTTTGAAGGTGTGTAATTTGTTTCAATAAATAATTTCTGTAAGAAATAAATGGGTTATATTGGCTAGGTGCAGTAGCTCATGTCTGTAATCTTAGCACTTTGGGAGACCAAGGCAGGTAGATTGCTTGAGCTCAGGAGTTCGAGACCCACCTGGGCAACATGATGAAACCCTTTCTCTACCAAAATACCAAAAAAGTAGCTAGGCGTGGTGGTGTGCACCTAGCTGGAGTAGTCCCAGCTACTCGGGAGGCTGAGGCATGAGAATTACTTGAACCCGGGAGGCAGGGGTGGCAGTAAGCTGAAACTGTGCCACTGCACTCCAGCCCGGGCAACAGAGGGAGACTGCCTCCAAAAATAAAAATAAAAATAAAATAAAATAAATGAATGGGTTACATCATCTTTTGTAAGGATTTAAAAACAGATTTGTTTTGATAATAGAGAGAAAAACCTTATTATTTTGACATTTTTTTCCTGTGAATCATTTTTCTATTCTGTCAATATTTAATAAATAATACCAAAACTAAGTCTTATTTTTCCTTTAAACTCAAATGTGGGCCAGGCATGGTGGCTCATGCCTGTAATCCCAGGACTTTGGTAGGCCAAGGTGGGAAGATTGCTTGAGCCTGGGAGTTCGAGACCAGCCTGGACAACATAGCGAAGCTCTGTCTCTACAAAAGATATAAAAATTAGCTGGGCATAGTGGTGCATGCCTATAGTCCCAGCTATTTGGGAGGCGGAGGTGGAATGATCACCTGAGCCCAAGAGGTTGAGGTTCAGTCAGTGGTGGTGGAGCCACTGCACTCCAGCCTGGGTGGAAGAGTGTGACTCAAAACAAACCAACCAACCCAAATGTGTTTCATTGAAGAGTTTAAGGCTGCAGAAGCAGCAGAGGTGAATACACGGTTCCAGTGCTGCCGTCTGTTGGTGTGGACTGGTACTGCTAGCTCATCACAGCCCAGACAGTTTCAAAATCTTTCCAAACACCACGCTCTACCAATGAACTGGAAGGACTGTGACAGGGGGCATGCTCTTTGGCATCCTTGATATAATAAAGGGTCAAGAGCCCCTTTCATATTAAGTGTTGCCTAAAGTAAAAGGTAGAAAAGGAGAAAAGAAAAAAAAAGTACAGCAAAATAGAAAAAGAGAATGGAGAAAAAAGAAAAGTGCTAATGGGCAGTGAATTAATGAGACTAAGTGATTCAGTCCCCATCTGGTGTCATCAATGTCAGGATGTGCTTAATTTTCCATGACTTAGCTGAAATGCCAATACCTATTTATTATAATGGCTGTAGAAGCCTTGCATACAGCAAGAACAACCCCAGAGCTGTTTTCTTTCAGCCTCACATGAAATATTCAAGCAAGAAGAATATAATAAAACAAATTCAATGGGATTTTTCATTTTCTTACCATTTGCTCTGTTTGTTGAATGTCTTTTGCTGTGGTTTTCACCGAAGCATTTGACAAGTCACACATGGAGCAGAGGAGATCTAGATAGGTCCTTGCCTGCTCTTGCAAAGCTCTGAAGTGTTTGACCTGGAAAAGGCAATTGTAAGAGTTAAAGAGATGCAACAGCTACTTAGATGGAAAATACTTGTATAACTTATAATTTCTGTTGACATTTAAAAAATAATCTTGCTATGCTTAGTGTTTTCACCATTTTGCTAAAGTGACATATATTAGTGACTCACAGGAAGAAATTCAAAACACCGATGGGGATTTATGTGTCCACCATTTGCTTCTCCTTGCAAGTCATGTATTCTGTATGGTCTGGGAAAGAGGAAAACCCAAAAAACTTCTATAATCATTCCAGATTATTTGCTCATGTGCCAGCTTATTTTGCATTTCAGAGAAAGAATTTGTAGCCTACTCTGGCCTGCTTCTTAACATGTTTTTGCCTATCTTAGAGAGAGAAGACAAAGGTCAGTGAGTTGATAGGTTTCACTGGAGTGAGGCAAAAACACAGATGTCTGGGCTTCTTTTTCCCTGCAGGAGATTCATCTTGCTCTCTTTCTTTTTCTACAAGCCCAAGAAAGGACTCTCCAGGTGGATCTTTAATCTACTTACAGAAACAAAGAAATGTGTTTCTTTGCAGATGCTCAGATTCTATTCAGGCTCCATTTTAGATACTGAGAATAGAGCATAAAGCAAAACCCTTGCTCCCATGGAGTTTACATTCTCAGGAGGGAGACAAACGAACATAAATAAACAAACATGCGCTGGAATGTTTGGTAGTGCTAAATAGCATGTAGAAAAATCAAGGTGCTAAGCAGATAGTATATGAGAAAGAAGCGCTGCTATGGCAGGGACTGTATCTCCCAGGCCTCTCTGAGGAAAAGACCTGAATGCATAGCGTGTCATAAGGTAAGAACATTCCAGGCAGGTGGACACGGTGGGCAGAGAGCCAGCAAATGCAAAGCTCTGAGGCTGAAGCAGAGTGAACCAGGTGGGAGCAGAGGTCGGTGAGCAGTGTGGGGGCAAGTCATGGAGCCCCCTTATAAGGAGAGCTGACCATACATCCCAATCTGCTGGCCTTCGTCCCTAGTCTAGAGTTCCTCAGCTCAGAACTATTGACACTTGACTCCAAATAATTCTTTGTTGTAGGGGGCTGCCTTATACATCGCAGAATGTCCGCAGCATCCTTTGCATCTGTCCACTTAATGCCAGCAGCACCCCCACCACTCCCAGTTGTGACAACCAACAACATGTTTAGACATTGCCAAATGTCCCCTGTGGGAGCAAAGTCACCATCTCCCCCACCCCAGTTGTGAACCACTGCTCTAGTCCCATTGGATGATGTCAAGCAGACTCTGTCCTATCAAGAAGGTTCTATTTGGGAAAACAAATCATATAACCAGCCTATTCATAAGCCATGGTAAGAAAGTTCGAATTTAAGTGTGATGGGATAATACTGGGAGCATCATGGTCAGAGACAGGCTTTCAAAGACTCCCTTCTAACATCGCATGGAGAACAGGCCACGGGGGCTCTAGGCAGCAATGGTGCACAGGTGTTAAGCTACTGCAGGGATCAGATGAACCATGAAGATGGCCTGACCAGGGTTGGTGGCTGAGGTGGCGAGAAGTGGTTCTTGTTTACTACATAAATAGGGATGAATAAGGAGGGTGGTGCCCACTGCAAGTTATAAGGGTAAAGCCGACCTCCAGGATTTTCCAGAATCATAGCATCAATCATGGCACCTGATTTTTTGACTCTGCTCTCCATATCTGTCCTCTGCAGTGTGTGGATTACCTAGACACGCTATGCTCCTGTGGATATAATAAATACAGATCAATTTCACATGAAGTCAGAAGCAGCACCTTTTCAATAGAATGTACAAGCTGTCTGGTGTTGTGAGTTGTCAGCCATGGTGCACAAGTACCATATCATGCACCTATGACCCAGAGACCGTTATTTGTCTCAAACAACTTTGGGATATGAGAAGAGAACACACTGTCACAATTTCTATTTTATGAACATATTTAATTGAAAGAAATGATGGTATATTGTGAGATTTATATAACTGGCCTGATTCTGGAAGCACCAAAAGCAATATATAGAGTGTCAGTGACCACACAGCTGCAAAAGATGTTTGGTAAAATCAACTTTACAGAACAATCTTTTTTTTTTTTTTTTTTTGAGACAGAGTCTCCCTCTGTCACCCAGGATGGAGTGCAGTGGCGCGATCTCGGCTCACTGCAACCTCCACCTCCCGGGTTCAAGCAATTCTCCTGCCTCAGCCTCCTGAGTAGCTGGGATTACAGGCTCAAGACACCACGCCCAGTTAATTTTTTGTATTTTAGGAGAGACAGGGTTTCACCATGTTAGGCACGATGGTCTCAGTCTCCTGACCCTGTGATCCACCCACCACCTCCCAAAGTGCTGGGATTACAGGTGTGAGCCACCGTGCTGGGCCAGAAAAATTTTATCATACTTTTTTCCATTCCCTAAAGTTCACATTTTATGCCTAATAAAAACATATAGCAGACCGAATGGAATCGAATCCATGTGCCATTATCTTGTGGTAGTGGGGGTGTATTATCTTCACATGTGTATTAAGGCTTTACTGCACAGGTGGTGCTGGGAATACATACTGCACCTTGGTACCATGCCCATTATATGTGGATTCTCCAGCCACAAATCCAAGCTCAGCAGCCACTAAGGGCCCGCTCAGTTTTACATGAACACAGTAAGTCCTCACTTCATGTTGTCAGCAGGTTCTTGGAAACTGCAACTTCTTTAAGCAAAAAGTCATATAATGAAACAATTTTTGTATTCATCAATGTTATAACAAACTTGCATGTTGAAGGAAATGACATTATTTAAGGACCTGCTGTACATGGTTTTGCTTAAAATTTGTTTGTAAGACCTATCAATGGCATTAAGTGAGGACTTACTGCATTGGCCAAGGGAAAAACTAAAAACAAACAAATAAAAAAAAAGATATTTAAAAAAACAAAACAAACAAAAAACAAGGAAACAAAATTAAAAAAAAAACCTTTCCACCTCAGAGTGACTGTGATCTAGGTGTCTGCACCCCTCAAAAGCCCTTCTCTGGCTACTTTCAAAGGGGAGAAAGATCATTTTGAGAGACACGTGAAAGGGGTGGAAACAGGGAACCAGACAGTCACATAATCTGGAAGAAGGATCAGTATCTGCCTCTGGTTATGTGTAGTAAATCTCTCCCTGCCCTAGCAAAAGATCACCAGCATTAATACTTTCTTCTCCCCTCATCTCTTTTATTTATTTATTTTTTGGTACCAAAGGAGAAAAATTAAGTGTTGATCTGAATTGTTCTGAATAAATTGCATTGGAAATAGACACAAGAAAGGTGGCTTGTGATTCAAGAAAGCTCAGTTTAATAAAAAAGGCAGAGGATAGGCAGTCCTTCATTCATTTTTCTTTTTTCTTTTTTTTCCAACAATCGCATTCCGAGGTTTTGGGGTTTTCTTTGTTTTGTTTTTGAGACAGTCTCACTCTGTTTCCCAGGCTGGAGTGCAATGGCGTGATCTCGATTCACTGCAACCTCCACCTCCCGGGTTCAAGCAATTCTCCTGCCTCAGCCTCCCAAGTAGCTGAGATTACCGGTGTGTGCCACCATGCCTGGCTAATTTTTTTTTTTTTTTTTTTTTTTTTTTTTTTTTTTAAGTAGAGACTGGGTTTTACCATGGTGAAGGGCTGGTCTCGAACCCCTGACCTTGTGATCCGCTTGCCTCAGCCTCCCAAAGTGCTGAAATTACAGATGTGAGCCACCGCACGTGGCTCATTCATTTTTCTTGATTCAAGGAGAACCATGTTTCATTTGTCCTGATCCTATTCTTATAATATATAATATGAATGCTTTTGTCAACCATTTAATGACAATGCAAATCATTTAAGCCTTTAGAAAGTAGACTTTGGTGGATGAATTAACTAGACACATTTTTTTATGTAGATTCAATGCACAAATGCATTATGTCATTCTCAATTTGTGCATTATGTTATTCTCTTATTAAATTATTTAATACTGTTAATTCATATCTCGTGGCAAAAATCTTTATAACTAAATTCCTCTAAAATATTTTGCCACGGGGTTAGCACTGCATACAAAAGCTGCTTAGTACAAAAGTTTAAAAAATATTTCCCACATACTCTGAATAAGTCTCAGCAACAACATTTTAAGCCTGTGGATGTCAAATTAATATGCAATAGAATTCCTTTCACATAATAAAAGTGAACATTTCATTCATTGTCCATTCAATAATTATTCATGAAGTACCTTGTTTATGCTTCAAAACTATGTGAGAAGCTAGTATTACTTTTCTGTTTATAAATCATGTTTATTTGCAGTGTGATATTTACATTTCATTATAACTTTTGGAAGTAAGTATACTTATAAATATCACTTTTGATAGTAGGAAACTATCTTGGAGGCTCAGAGAAATTAAGCGACTTACCCATGGTCCCCCAACAGATTAGGTGACAGAACTGATCTTTGGTTACAGTGCCCATTCTCTTTCTTTCTTTCTTTCTTTTCTTTTGAGACGGAGTCTCACTCTGTCGCCCAGGTTGGAGTGCAATGGCACAATCTTGGTTCACTGCAACCTCCACCTCCTAGGTTCAAGCAATTCTTGTGCTTCAGTTTCCCTAATAGCTGGGATTATAGGTGCCTGCCATAACCCCCAGCTAATTTTTGTATTTTCAGTAGAGATGAGGTTTTACTATGTTGGCCAGGATGGTCTTGAACTCTTTACCTTATACGATCCACCCACCTTGGCCTTTCAAAGCACTAGGATTACAGGCGTAAGCCACTACGTCCGGCCCAATTCTCTTTTTTTTTTTCTGTTTAATAATTAATTTTAATATTTATTACTTTATTTTATTTTTTATTATTTTTTAATTTTTTGAGACAATCTTGCTTTGTCGCCTAGGCTGGAGTGCAGTGGCATGATCTTGGCTCACTGCAACCTCTGCCTCCTGGGTCCAAGTGACTCTCCTGCCTCAGCCTCCAGGGTAGCTGGGATTATGCGTGCATACCATCATGCCTGGCTAATTTTTGTATTTTTAGTAGAGATGGGGTTTCACCATGTTGGCCAGGCTGGTCTCAAACTCCTGACCTCAAGTGACACACCCATCTCAGTCTCCCAAAGTGCTGGGATTGTAGGCATGAGCCACTGTGCTCAGCCCCCATTATCTTTCTAGCCTACCAGGTTGGCCCCTCAGTATCATGTCCACCTTCTGGCTGGCACATGAACTCCACTAGAGCCAACCTCAGACCTTATTCCTACTTTTAGATTCCCAGGAGCCAATACAGTTTGGCACATCATAGGTATTTCACACATTTTCATTGACTGCCTGAATGATTCACAAGAATAACACAAACTTTCAGTTTACTACCTGCTTAACGGCTTCTGCCCTACTAAGAGGTGGTTGAGGGCTTGGCTCTAAATCTGGCTGGACTGCAGAAAGCCAGGCCTGGCACTGCTGCAGAGTGTCTTGTCGGCTGACGTGCTTCTGAAGTTCATGCTCCAAACTCTGGTACACCTGAGACAATACAACCACGCTGAGATTAGGAGAACTGCTTTCTACCTCTATAAAGATCACTGGAATTCAATGAAACATGACCAGTACTTCTAAATGGATTTTCCCCCAAGACTCCCCAATTTCATACACATATCTAAAACAGTTGTATGTCTCCCCATATGTTCGAAAATGCAATGGCCATCCCCCAGTTGATAACTCCTCAGTCCACACATGACAATGTAATATCTGGATTAGGGGAAGAGAACATGAGCAGGGTAAATATTACTATAGAGGCATGCTAGAATACACAAAATCATTGAAGTTAATTGTCATAGACATGTTGGAGGTTTTTGCAGCTTCTCTTCCTGTGGTATAAATATTGCACTTTTTATTTAAGCTAGCAACTAAAAGTAAAAATAAAACATGATCTCAAAAAAGGTAACCGATGTTTCTCTAACTACAATGCTTCTCAGAAAAGATAACCAATGTTTCTCTAACTACAATCCTTCTGCCTTTGAGGTTGGGTTAAATTTGAACTAAATTTGAACATAAGGAGCGGAGAGGTGAACGCCCTCACTTCATCTTAGAAGTCATGTTCCAGGGCAAAAATAATCCAGAATAATTCATACATTTTCTGATATGTCTATTTAATTAATTAGTACTTAACAAGCCAACCAACTTTCATTTTATCCATAAAGACATATTAAGAAACAATTATGTGTCTACTTGAGATTAAGATGAAATATATCTGTGACGTTTCCATTTATAAAAAAGGAAAAAGGAAGAAAATTAGTTTAACCTGGCATTTCTCTCATTACTGAGACAATAGAAGCAATCACTGAATTCTGCTTTTCTCTGTCATCATTTAAATTCATCATATTCATCTGACATTAGGTTTATCCCTTATTTATTCTTGATCCAAGCAGAATTTTTAAAAGAATGGTGTTTTGTTCTCTTTATCATTTTTGCAAATTTTAATTATAAAGTTCTGATTTTGGTCTTAGAATTTCATCTGCTTTTTTAAATTTTAAAAATTATGTTGGTCTTTCCAACATATACCAATTTAAAAAACAAAACAAAAGAAAACCTTAAACTGTATACCTAATGCAAAGGAAATACCCACTGTGAAGGAAGTCAGTGTACAAGAAATCTCTGTTGAATGAGTGAATGAATGAACTCACTGGAAAGTTCTATGTATAGCTCATTTTTTCTCTTTACTCCCCTTTTTCCCCCTTTGTCATCATTTTCAATTATTCATTAGATTTTTCTTATTTCTCCTTTTGTTAACCTTTGAAGGCGATTTTTTTTTTTTTAAGTCTAGGAAGTTGACTAATGTCACTCATTTTTAAAATTAATATTATGGTGAACACAGACCATTCTAACCATGTCACTGGTGTATTTCCAGTTCTAACTGGCTAGCCCAGTAAACAAAAATATACAGGAGACTTCAAGGGCTTATAAAAACTCTTTGCAGTGTCATTTAAAAATTCTAGATTAATAGAAAGCTATTTACTTATTTTGCTAAGTTTTTGTAAAAATATCAATTCTTGTTCCTCTTAGACTTTTTTCTAAAACATTGAGAATTCTTTTTTAATGGAAGTATACCCACTTAAGTATAAGTCAAATTTGGCACTTTCTCAAATTCTACATGAATGCAAACAAATATTGATTTAGATTAGAACCTATGCTGTGTACAGTTAAAAAGAAAATAATGATTGTGAAAATTACGAAATAAATTTATTTTGTGTTACAAAATAAACAGCAAATTAGAAAGTATTGATGGTGTGCAGAGAAAAACAGACACTATAATCTCCTCAAATTCCTTTTACCAACAAACAAATAAACTTTTTTTTGAGGCAGGGTCTCACTCTGTCACCCAGGCTGGAATCCAGTGGTGCGATGTTGGCTCACTGTAACCTCCACCTCCTGGGTTCAAGCGATTCTCCTGTCTCAGCCTCCTGGGTAGGCAGGATTACAGGGGCACCACACCCAGCTAATATTTGTATTTTTAGTGGAGACAGGTTTCACCATGTTGGCCGGGCTGATCTTGAACTCCCGACTTCAAGTGATCCACCTACTTTGGCCTTTCATAGTGCTGGGATTACAAGCTTGGGCCACCAGGACCTGCTCAAGTCAACTTTTAACAAGCTTTTTCATAATCAATCCATGGAATAAAGGAATTGGATAAAACAATAGCTGAAATTCACTGCTTAGTCACATCAGTCAAATATGAAATGTGATAGTTTTGTGTTCACATAGCGACTGTGAAATTTATCCTCCTATTTCCCGTCTGGCAACACACCAAAACTAACCCAAATATTTGATTAGTTTTATTTGTAAAATCTATTTACGAATTCTATTTGTAAAAAGTCTGTAGACTGCATAGCCTCTCCCCATAACTCCTCGTCATTATGGAATGTTCTGTTGACACTCACTCTCTGAGCTGTGCTGCAGATCGCTGAGTAGCTGTCCTTTGTACCCTGCACATGAGCATGCACGTTTTGTTTCAGTTTCGCTTGCAGGTGGTCTGCACACTGGCCAATCAAAGCATCACCTTTCATTTGAAGATTGTTCAAACGGTCTTCAAAACCAGCAATTTCTTCCATCATTGCCTGTAAAAATGAAACCAATACAGAGTTCTCATAATTCTACTTTTAGTTTTAAATAACTTCACCATCAAACAAAGTTAAAGATAGATAATTTCACAGTTTAATATTGTTTTTGAAAGAATCTTGCAATTTATCTTATATATTGAATGAAAACAAAAGCACATATGTGTTTTCAGGGATACTCCAATGGGAAGAGTCAATGAGTTTAAGGGATTAGTTACATAAAGAATGATGAAGTAACCTTTAAGACTACACATGGCTGGTCTCAGAGAGCTATCTGCCCCATGGTATTATTACCAGACAGAAAGATGTCCCTATATTTTTTGGGTCTGTAAGTTATAATTCTGGCATAATTTTTATCCAAAACAATCTAATTACTATTTCATCAAATTTATATAACAACTCATTTCTATAAGATTGGTGCAAAATAGTTGTGGTTTTTATCATTCCTTTTTTTTTTTTTTTTTGAGAAAATCTCACTCTACTGCCCAGCCTGGAGTGCAGTGGAACAATCTCGGCTTACTGCAACCTCTGCCTCCCAGGCTCATGTGATTCTCCTGCCTCAGCCTCCCAAGTAGGTGCGATTACAGGTGTGTGCCACCATACTGGCAATTTATTATTATTATTTGTACTTTTAGTAGAGATGGGGTTTTACTATGTTGGCCAGGCTGGTCTCATACTCCTGACCTCAAGTGATCTACTGGCCTCACCCTCCCAAAGTGCTGGGATTACAGGTGTGAGCCACCATGCCTGGCCTGTTATTACCTTTAATACAAAAACTGCAATTACTTTAGCAAAAACGTAATAATCGAATTCTAGTTTTAGTAATAATCTAATATCTAATTTTTAATTCATGTGACATCTAACTTACATCTAATACTGTTTATAATAATGAAAATAGCATTTAAACTTATCATTTATTAAGTACCTGCTGTAGTCGAGGAATTACATATAAGCCCTGACGAACGTTATTATCATTGTTTTATAGATGAGGAAACTGAAGCACAGTGAGGTTGTACAACACAGTCAAGGTACGGCATAGCCCCCAGGCTTTGGACATAGCTCTGCCTGATTTCACCTCACACCACCATGCCCACTTGCGTTCTCTAGTGAGCATTCTTATAGATGACTCAGGGAGGAGGAATTTATTATTTTTTAAATCAGGTTCTGGCCGGGCATGGTGGCTCACACCTGTAATCCCGGCTGAGGTGGGTGGATCACCTGAGGTCAGGAGTTAGAGACCAGCCTGGCCAACACGGTGAAGCCTTGTCTCTATTAAAATACAAAAATTAGCCAGGCATGGTAGAAGGCACCTGTAATCCCAGCTACTCGGGAGGCTGAGGCAGAAGAATCGCTTGAACCCAGGAGGCAGAGGTTGCAGTGAGCCGAGATTGCACCATTGCACTCTAGCCTGGGTAACAAGGGTGAAACTCTGTCTCAAAAAAAAAAAAAATAAATAAAAACAAAATAAAATAAAATAAAATAAATAAATAAAATAAAATCAGTTCTTTTTTTTTTTTTTTTAACTGTTATATGACGCTAATGATAAGTGACACAATCCAACCTAGGGTTGCCTCAGTAACCCATCATTATATCTACAGGAAACTTGGGTGGCCCCTCAGCAGTCCAGTGTTTACTCCTTTTTCAAGCAGGGCTGGGCTAGCAGTTATTACACACATTCAGTTGAAAAGAACCACTTTTTCTCTGAGTTGGAATAGAACCACTCCATCATGTGGTTATTTATGGGGTAGATTACCTTCTGGGTTAGTATCTCCTCAGTGCCTACCAGAAGGTATTGTGTAGTTGCTTTTTTATTCGTATTTATTAAGTAAAATCTTTTCTTACAGACAGAAGTGTTGGAGCCCAGCGAGGCTAACTGGCTTTCCTAGTTATGACCATATCATGACTAAAATTGTTTTCCATTAAGATCACAAATAAGTTGCTCCATAAAATTGTGACCATAACATCTATCATCTGGTACACATAATTACTAAAAATATATATGAATAAAGATAAGAACTCTTCATATTAGTACTGTACTTTGTGATTTACAAAACATCTTCACAAATATTATCTCCTATGATTAGCATGACAATTATGAGATGGGCTAGTATTGTTATCATCCTAAAGGAGAAAAAGACAGACTCAGATAGGCTAAGTTCTCTCTCCAGGAAGGGGAAGAGTCTAGCCTAGAATCCAGACTTCCTGATGGCTTTGGCTGCATTTTCTAAAATAGACTCCATAAAGACTAAATTCTGAGATAGAAATTATTGGTTGGGAAAAATGCAACCATGTGTTCAGAAGTTCAGTGCCAGGATTCAACTCTTCTTGATTCACTTGAATATCAAGTCCAACTGTTGTCAATTGCCAGAGGTGCTTGAGACTTAGACCTTGATATGGTTTGGCTGTGTTCCCACCTAAATCTCAACTTGAATTTCCAAGTGTTGTAGAAGGGACCTGGCAGAAGATAATTGAATCATGGGGCAAGTTTTTCCTGTGCTGTTCTCATGAGAGTGAATAAGTCTCATGAGATCTGATGGTTTTAAAAGCGGGAGTTTCCCTGCACAAGCCATCTGCCGCCATGTGAGACGTGCCTTAATTGTGGGGCCTCCCTAGCCACGTGGAACTATAAATCCAATAAACCTCCTTCTTTTGTAAATTGCCCAGTCTTGGGTATGTCTTTATCAGAGACTAATATAGACCTGATTCTCTTGGTGCAATCATTATAAACCAGAGATGCACCTGTGTATGCAACCCGCCCCCCCCCACACACACACATACATGCACATGCACAGATGCGTGCATATACACACTGGCGAAGCTGTCCCAAAGGCAGCCCTTTAGAGGTCAGGGGTACCTTGTGGTGGGCGAGTTGCTGGGTGATCGTTTCCAGGCTGCTCGTCTCCAGGAGGTCGGGGGCCACCAGCCTGCTGGACATTTGCAGCAGCCACTTTTCAACCTCTTGGAGCTCACTATTGTAGTCTTCATGGTCTTTGACTTTTGCTTTCAGACTGAAGACATGCTCCTGCAAAACCAGGCGCCCATCAGAGGTGACTTTCAAGTGAAAAACCTACTCCAAACTGTTTTGTATTACAAAAAACCCAGTGCAACTCACAGGGTAGATAGAGCTACTTATATCAGAAGACTATCAGGAATGGAAAAAAAAATACTCATATGCCAATTAAATATCCATCTGAATAAAAAAATACTGACCCATAACAGGCCTTAAAATTATGTGACAGAGAGAATGGAGTCAGGGCCCACATTTTGGCAAATAAACACTTTTACAGAATCGCTTATCTCTCCTTACCTTTCCTACACTGCACAGGTCCTGGTAATCACTTTGCAGTTGGTCTATTTTGTCCTTTAAAGTGACATCCTGCACCAGTTCCAAAAGGGCTTCACCTTTCTCTCTCACTGACTTTACCGATGGTTCATGGGACAGCACCATTTGTTGAAGTGACTTGAATTACAAAGAAAAAAAAAATGAGCCTGCTCATCTCTGTGGACAAGATGAATACATACATATTCCTGTGGCATGCAAGGGATGATCTGCCTCAAAGAAAGATTGGTACATATTTTATGAATCAATAAGTGCAAAACATTAAAGAGTGATTTATTATGGCTAACACATTTTCTAAATACAAAAGAAAAGTAACACATCAAATGGCCCTTCCCATGTGGAGAAGAAAAAGGATGGGAAATAGTTATATTTGACTAAATTTAATATAGCTCATATTTTTGGCTTCTGCCTTATTACTTTCATCAGAGAAAAAAAAATGCAATGTAAATGGAGTGAGGCCACTGTCTTGATTTTGAGGTCATGAAGTTAGTTCTAGTTACAGCTAGTTATAGAGTTAGAGAGAACAATTCCAGTTGTGACCTTGCTGAGATAGGCTGAACGCACTTAAATCTATCAAGAATTCAGTGGCTGGGAGGAAGAGGTTGTGATTCTCAGGTGGCATCTTCAAAGACAAGTTGTCAGGCTTGGTAGAGAAGCCAAGGATAGAAATAGACATTGGCTGGAAGAGGCTGTCACAAAAGCTTCTCACAGGAAAAGCTTTGGGGTAAGCCACCACACTGTGATTCTTAAAGATATCACTCAGTCATCCAGATCAAATTTATAACACAAATTATTCCACATATAAGCTTCCATAATTGCTGCAAAAATTTAAACAGGTGAAATATCTGTACCTATATCATGTATAGCTATATCCACACCACTATTTATTCTTTCAAAAATCAAATTCTAAGGTACTTATCTAGAATTTGTTAATTAGAACTTATTTTATTACAAATATGATATATCATTTTCAATTTTCCATAGATCAGCTTCTAGCCTTGGGTATCAGAAGATGAAGGGAAGCCTCTACATGGGAAAGATAAAACCTACGGGTATGGAATCCTTATGCCAGCAAGATTTTACCTGGAGGATTCAAATACCTGGATCACTGTCAGAAAAGATATTCATTGATTGATAGATACATATGATCAATATATGTATTGATACAATCTTTGAGTATCAGATCTCTGAATGGAAAAAATAACTCTGAAGTAGCATGTTTAACCCAATAAATCTCCATAAGTCATGGCATCACTGGCCAGCCGCAGAACGGGCATGCATGGGATGTATTCCAGCAGCTGTTATAGGTGACACACCGCAAGAATCACCTCCCTTCCATTTAGTCTCTGCGTGACCTCCGCAGGCAACTGTCAATGAGGAACAACACACTACCTTGTATTTAGATAACTGAGCTTTTTTCTCATATAATTCCATTTTGGGTTCTTCAGGAACATGTAGGATTTCCTGGTACTCTGCTATCCACTGTGTCAGTGCTTTACATTTATCCGAGAATTCCTTTGCTAAATGAAGACCTTTTTCCAGGGTCATGTGTTCTTTCCGGACAGTGCTGGTCAGTTCCTTCAACTGCTCCACATGATCATGAATCTCTTTTCTTAACCTCTCTGCCTCACTTTCCTCCAAGTACTTAACAGCCCTCTCTCCTTTCTCCCGGGCTGATTTCAGCAAACTGTGACCTTTTTCCATGTCTTTGAGCAAAACCTGAAAAAGAGTGAGTAGGAAGCAAATGTTGTCTTATTATTATTATTTTTTGAGACGGAGTATCACTTTGTCACCCAGCTCACTGCAACCTCTGCCTCCATGTTCTAGCAATTCTCCTGCCTCAGCTTCCCAAGTAACTGGGACTACAGGCACGTGCCACCATGCCCAGCTAATTTTTGTATTTTTAGTAGAGACGAGGTTTCACCATGTTGGTCAGGCTGCTCTTGAACTCCTGACCTTAAGCAATCCACCTACCTTGGCCTCCCAAAGTGCTGGGATTATAGGCATGAGCCACCGTGCCTGGCCATTTATTTTCCTTTTAAAGAAAGGTTTATCAAGTCCTGTTCTTAAGGCCACTTATTTCCCTTTAAAATAAGTTGTTGACGTTCATAACCACATTTGACCTGCCAGGAATCAGTAAACCCAACTTCTTTACTTCAATATAGGTTCTAAATGTCTTGATAAATATATAATTTCCAAATCAGAGACTTGAAAAACAACTTAATGTTTCTCTCATCCTGAGCAATCTCTTTCTAAAGACCTGAGTTTAAACTCTGTAAAGACACTGGGCCATGAATTTGAGAAAGATATTTATCTCTTAATATTGAAGTATCACACTGGAATTCTGTCAACACTTTCATGGGTGTCCATGTGTAAGTCATTCTGATAACAACACATCACAAATAAGTGAAAGCCAGCTTTTGGCCTTGAAGAGTCAACTTAGCATTGCAAATAACATGGTGAGGTCAGGACCACCAATCATAACGGTTGGGATCACCTGTGCTTCCAATATCTACGCAGAAGAATGGGGCAGCTCAGTGAAAGGAAAGGTTGGATATGAATCTGGTGTGCGTGCCTACCTCCAACGTCTTCAGTTTCTTCCCCATCATTGCTGTATCTACTTTGTCAATCTTGGTAGCCACATTCTTGAAGTTTTTATGTGTAGAGCCACACCAATCAGAATAGGAACTGAGGGATGATTCTGATTCCTCCAAACTTTGAATCTCTTCCTCCAGGAATTTTATTTGTTCCTTTGAAAGGAAAGAGAAAATTGAATGGTGAATTAAAGGCCTGTTCAGGGCCTTTGTTCATGAACATGTATCTTCTCTGGATGTTAGCAAAAGGAAGACTATTTTGGCCGGCAAAGTTTGCTGGCCTATACAGAGCACCTGGTGGCACACTTACCAGCACTTGCAGAAGCAAGGCCTGGTATCTGGAAGTCAGCTGGGTGGCCTGGCAGCCCATTCTGCTGCTCACGTGGCTCTCGTCCAGTATCTCCTGAGCTCTAGCTCCCACTTCCTCAACTTCATCTCTGTACGCAGTCACTTCTTCATGCCACTTCTGAAATGACAAAGCATCGAAGGGAAAGATTCAATCTTAGGGATTTGGATAAGACAAATATATATCTTCTTAATAGGAAATGGTTTCAGTGTACGTTTATTTCAGTGTATGTTTATTTTGAAATATAATTTTGAAAATGCCATATATTATTTTCATAAATATTACAACAATGTGGTGGATAATGAAAAGAAATTCCTAAGGCCCAAGCATTATTTTAGATGTGTGCACTAAAATTGCATAAAAATTAGAATAAAACTAATTCTCAAGTATTATTTCAATGCACTATGAGCAATTTCATATCAGAACCATAAACTTAAATTATTGCAATACAAGCATTTATGTATCTTCACAAAACAAGGTAATAGGGTATGGAAAAAATATATGAAGCATTTACATTAAACTACATTTTATCAAAGACTAATTTATGAAATAATTGCTGTAAGAGGAATGCTCCATTGTAATTTATTTTAAATTTCTAGGTAATCAAAAAGATTTTGCAAAGCCTAAGCTTTGGACAAAGTTACTAGATACTTTAATGAAACAAACTATGCAAGCTAACTGCAGCTTCCACAAAGATCAGGAATCTACATGAGTTGTACCTTCATCTGATGTAACTGTATCTCCTTGGTCGCCCGGTTCGACTGACGTCTGGGCCTGGGAATAACCTTCTCCTCTGCTGTTTTTAGCCATTCCTCTACTTGCTGAAACTTTTGCTCCATCAGCCTCAATTTGTTCACTACGTTATTGAAGTGAGTTCGGGTCTCAGACAGCCTGTGCTGGTAGGCCTGCCAGTCTTGCCGGAGGGACTCTAAAGCCCGGTCCTCTGCCTGTGGAATACCTGATGGGATCACATCCTCTCTGGTGTGCAGAACTGAGTTCAACAGTGCCTGCCCCTCTGCACAGTGTACCTGGAGCTCCTGCAGAGAAAACAGAATGGCTGTCACTCTCAATTATATTTCACACTTTGCATGGGTTAGCATGTCTCACCAAAGCCAACTGTGCCAGCTTGAACTTCTCACTAGAAAAAAATGATTTGATTATGCCCTATACAAAAATATGTCCCTAACAATATTTTCTCCCAAGTCAGAAGGATTCCTAAAATTTTTCCAATTAAAATCACACACACACACACACACACACACACACACACACCCTCCCCAATATTTTTCTCAATCAACAGTTTCTGAAGTTTGACTTTTTAGATTACAGGTGAAAACACTTGTGAGTAAAGAGATACTGTTTAAAAGAATGACCTAGGTTTATTATGGCTCATAATCTGCTTAAAGTGCCTTAAGCTTCTTGCTTTGACATTGAATAGCTAAGTGCTACATTTGTGACTGAGAAAGAAACAATAAACCCTTTTTTTGTTAAGGAGGGTTCTTTTGCCAAAGCTGTACTCTAGGCATTGTGGTGGCCAAGAAGAGTTGAGCCTGGAGAGTGCAGGGCACGCAAACCTGGGAAACTGGTTCATCACACCGGCCCATCAGGTGCTCCAAGGTGCAAATAAATTTCCTCCACCAAAGCTTAAGCCCCAAAGATCTACAAGTACAAATTTAGTATAAATCTACATTATACAAATTTAGTATAAATCAAGTTTTGAAGCACATATGCTATTTTTTATATTATAAAAAGAATCTTATATCCTTAAAGATGTTGGTAAAACAATATGGCACACTTATATTTCTGGTGATAAACATAAATCTATACTGTCACTTGATTTGATCATCTAAAATAAAAGAAATCAAGCCAAATCCCACCAACAGTGTTAAAAAAAATCAATATCTGTAGTTAAAACATAGTATTTCTTATTACCATATTTAAAAAAAATTCTTACCATCAGATCAAACCACTTAAGATTGCTAATACATTTTTCTTACAAAAACAACAATTTCATATGGTTTCAACTAACAGAACATTTTTCTTCAAATATGATGTCACTTCAAGCATGGTGTAATGTAAACACATATGCACATGGAAAGTGAAGAACTACAGATATACATGGCAAAATATGAATCAAAATGGCAACAAATACGTAGTCTTTATCATAAAATTCTTAGACCTTTTTTCGAGATAATTTTTGACAATAGTTTTCCTGATTCAAGGTTTGCAAACTTTTCCTATGAAGGGCCTGAGGGTAAATCATTTGGGCCTTGTGGGCGATCAGTCTCTGTTGCAATGACTTAACTCTGCCATTGTAGTATGAAAAAAACCTCAGACAATACATACACAAATGGGTGTGGCTGCATTCCAATAATATTTCATTTAAAAATACAGACATTGTGGCCGTGGGCAGTAGTTGACTTGCCCCTATCCTGATTTATTAATCTTCTCAGCATCTTTTCCACAGTTCATAAATAACCAATTTATTATCCAAGTTAATATTCTATTAGATAAATTCTCATATATTACAAATTTCAAGCCTGTATTATGAAGGAAAAATATGGTTCAATATTTAAAATATATATTTATGTATAATATTGTTAAATATATAAAATATATAAACATAATATATAAAATATATTAAAAATATATAAACAATATATATGTTCTATGACCCAAACTAGGCTTTCAGGTTATACATAATAATTTCTGGGCTGGGCACGGTGGCTCACAGCCATAATCCCAGCACTTTGGGAGGCTGAGGCGGGTGGATCACGAGGTCAGGAGATTGAGACCATCCTGGCCAAAATGGTGAAACCCCTTCTCTGCTAAAAATACAAAATAATTAGCTGGGTGTGGCGGCATGTGCCTGTAGTCTCAGCTCCTCAGGAGGCTGAGGCAGGAGAATCGCTTGAACCCAGGAGACAGAGGCTGCAGTGAGCCGAGATCATACCACTGCACTCCAGCCTGGGCGACAGAGCAAGACTCTGTCTCAAAATAAATAAATAAATAAATAAATAAATAATAAAAAAATACAAAAATACATATAAAATAAAATAATAATTTCTGAATATGGTCCATACTACAGGCCAATCCCCACACCACTGTGCATGCTACGGAACATGGGATCTAAAGAAATTCTGCTGTGTGGTTGCAGCATCACGATTCTCCACCTCTGCTTCCTGTCACTAGCATCTTCCTTCCTTTTTAACCTTTGTGGCGGCTCACAGTAAAAAATGTAGGAATTAATGCATGGTGAAAACAGGGGTTGAAGTTAGCTTTGCACCACATTAATACTGGCTTAAGTGAAATATTTTCTTTTGACAGAACAACAGCAACATCTACTGGTGATGGGTAACTATTAGCTTAGTTCCAACACAAAAGCACAGGGAGCTCAGCATTTGCTTGCCAATGATGTTGGTGGTGTAGAACTAAGAAGCGTTATTTAAAGAAAATAGTTGATTCTAGTCAAATAAATTACAACAGCTAAACCTGTGGAATAGGACATCCTACTCTGGTGGCAGGACGGATGAGACCCGTAAGTAAGCTAAGGAAGTTGTGATCCTTCTAACTTTTATTATTTACTTACTTCATGAGTAGACAATATATTAAAATAAGATTTTCTTCCATTTTGGTTAATCCTTACAACTCTCTGGATGAACTTGGGTCAGAGAAGTTCTCTCTTGCCTGAAGTCATCTAGTGTTGGGTGTCACTGAGGATTAGAGTCCCCACTTACTAACCACAACTCCATTCTTTCTCTCTCTTTTTTTTTTTTTTTTTTTTCTATTTTTCTTTTTTGAGACTGAGTCTCACTCTTGTTGTCCAGGCTGGAGTGCAATGGCACGATCTTGGCTCACTGCAACCTCTGACTTCCTGGTTCAAGCAATTTTCCTGCCTCAGCCTCCCCAGTAGCTGGGATTTACAGGCACGCACCACCACGTCCAGCTAATTTTTGTATTTTTAGTAGGGACGGGGTTTCAACATGTTGGCCAGGATGGCCTCAATCTCCTGACCTCGTGATCCACCCGCCTTGGCCTCCCAAAGTGCTGAGATTACAGGCATGAGCCACTGTGTCTGGCCCTCCATTCTCTTGCCATTATATAATTTCCAAGACCTAACAGAAAAAGCCAGAAATTTCATACATGGTGCATAATCACAATGATCCTTGATTTTTCCACTTCGTCCAAGCTGTAGGTAAAATGTACCCAATCCTGAACCAATTCTGATCAGGGCTGATAGCACATTTATAAGTTCCAACACATTGCAGGTGGGACATAAAGTGGTCTCATTGGCCTTTCTCTATCTTCTGCTGTTTGTTTTGTACCTGGTGACCCCTTCTTGGTGAACTTCCTTGATTCCTACCTACTCCTTAAGGTAAGATTACAGGCCCTTATTTGATGCTGCTGTAAGATCCCTTACGTTAGTCTATTAATGTCCTCATCACATTGTTTATAATGATCTTTCTATGGGTTTGTGTTCCTCACCAGATTTTAAGTTCCTTGAAGACAGAAATCATATCTTAAATCATCTTTGCCTGAAGTAGCTAGTGAAGTACCTGTACTGTATTAAGTAGCCAGTAAATACTGAATAAGTAAATAAGTATATAGATTATGAACACTTTCTCTACCATGTCTGACATCTCACCATGAATTATGGCCTGCTGGCCTGGGCACCAACATTTTTTTTTTTTTTTTCGCTTCTTTAATTCCTTCTTCTAGAACTCTGAGCCTGAACCTTGTATCGTCAGCAATGTGGCAGGTTTTGCCTAAAACAATATGGCTCAAGATACTGCCACTAGTTTGACTTTGTGTCACCTTCTAACGACTCCTGCTGCTGTTCCCCACATCTGATTTGATCCTTTAGGGAGAAATAGGCAGGTAAGTCCATTAATTAGATCTCTAGCCATTCTTGTCAGGGCCAGTCTAGCAGCTATATGAGTTCCCCAAGTGCCAGTTCTGTCCTATCTAAATTTCCTACAAAATGATGTCAACTAGCATATACTACTGAGGTCTCAAAATGTTCGTGATCAAACCTTATGGGAATTACACTTAATGAGTATCGGCTAGCCACTGGACTCAAAGTCTCTATTAACTTTCTGTTGCTTAAAATAATAATTCCATATTCAGAATGAAGATTCCTCTGTTTTGGGATAAAGGAGGCTTTACCTGAAGATCACGCAACGTTGTCTCATGAGTGTGGGCATCACCTTCAAGAACCGAATACTTGTCGAGCTTTTCTTGTTCTTGCCCCAACCAAGCTTCAAATCCCTTCAGATCTCTCTGATACTCTTGATGCAGGCGGACAAGTTTCTCAGACTTTGTTACTGCTTCCTATAATCAGCATTTAAAATAATTAAGATAGGAACACATTACTTTATAAAGCATCAATGTACTATAATTCACTTTCGTACTTTTAGAAAAGTACATTTATTGAGACATTGGAATATGAGTTATTTCCTAGAATAATGAATCTTCAAGACATTTATGTAAAAATATAAAAACCTAATGTTTCAGATTAAAAGCTATATTAATTATTTTGTTGAATTAACTACATGGCCTCTGAATGCAACATAGACAGGCTAAAAAAGGAATTCACTTTACTAACCTCATAAAAATTCACTTTTGCTAATGAAGAAAACTGAAATTCTTATATTGTGTCTTAAATGAGGATTTGGACTTACTAAGCATTTAATTTTCCACAGTATAATGTGCTCTGAAAAGGCATATTTATTTTCTTTGTGAGGACTAAATGTAGAATGACAAGTACAGTCAGAGATTATTTCCTACCTTAGAAAACTCTCATGATCAGACATCATAAGGCATGTATGAGTCTTCATTATGAAGCTGTCCAGGATTTTTGTTAAATTGGTACATTTCTAGGAATTTTTAGTTGAAAATTATCTTACTTTAGTAGCTTTCATAATACTAACAATATTTGAAGGTTTTTGTTTGGTTTTGCCAGTAATACCTTTAAAATATTAAAACTTCATTTTGCTTTTGTTCTGTTTTCCCAAGCCTGTCATTCTTGAAAATAAATGAGTCTTTAAAGGCGCACAGCTCCAGACACTCCTCTTTAGGTGAGTCTACAAGGAAAGTGTTTCACTGTACCTTGGCCCTCTCTTGGATGGCTCTGTATCGTTCCTGTAGATCCTGGAGCTCTAGCTGGGTGACATAGTGTTCTGTCATGCCAGCCCCTTTGACTTCGATGGTCTCCAGCAAGCTGCTGTAACTCAGCACTTCTTCATTTAATAACTAGGGAGCATTTAAGAAAAATAAAACAGTCACCATCACATCAATGCCACTGCTAAAATCAAGATACTTTACAGTTGGCAAGTGACCTCTGGTTATCCATATGTCCATCCCTCCATCTATTTATTTATCTGATACGTGTGTGTGTGTGTGTGTGTGTGTGTGTGTGTGTGTATTTGATGTCTGGTCCAGAACTTTCTCTAAGACATGAATTCCCAATTAACTCCTTTATATTTCTACTTCAATATTTTTAACTATTAAAAATATCCAGAAATGGGCCCCTGATATTCACCCCAACCCTATTCTACCCCAGCCCCCCATGAAACCCCCTTCTCTTTCCATCTCTTTTCAAATAGCAAATGCCATGACCTCACACCCAGACAGTCAACCCAGAGGATGGTAATCGTTCCAGTATCCTCTCTAGCTCTCCATCCTCCTAACCATTATAAATCCAGTTAGCTCTACTTCCTATAATACCGTGACATCTGTCCCCACATCTCCTGCAAACTCCCCCACCCAGAATACCCTCCTCTTTCACTTGGACTTTGCAGTAGTCTCCCAGGCAGATTCCTGGCCACCAATTCTTTCCCTGTCCCTTATTTCATGCTACAAACAGCAGTCTAAGTGATATAACATCTTGCAATTAAAAATTGAATCATGTCGCTTCTCAGCTTAAAACCTGGATTATCTTCCTAATGCTGCCAGGATCAAGTGGAAAATCCTCAGAGCAGCTGACATGGCCATGCAAGATCAGGCCCTCCCTCTCCATCAGACTCCCCTCGCAGCCCCTCCCTGCCTGCTCACGGCTGCAGCAACACCTGCCTGCCTTGTAGTTCTCTATTGCACCATGATCTTTCCCTCCTCAGGGCCTACGGACCTGCTGTTTATTCTATCTAGACTGCTGGTTCCTCCACTCCTCCAGGCTCATTTCTCTGCCTTAAATCCTTCAGTGCATTGACTCCATGTCTGCTGTTTCAGAGAGGCCTTTTTCTTCATAGTACTCAGCAGTTATAATTATTTATTTGTATATTTATTACTGAAGGAATGCATCCCACTAGCATACACTTGACTGATTTTACTTCTAGAATCTGGCAAAATGCCTGCATCTAGCAATTTCTCAATAAATGTTGATTGAATAGATAAATAATCTAATTAATTAAGCAATTAATTATTAGAACAGATAATACATGCAGGTATTTATGATGCAGATCATTATATTAATTTACAGATGCATAAATGAGACCCAGAAACATTAAGTGCCTTGGCATAGGTCACATAAGATCATCTAGTCATTTAAATAACCTTTACCCAGGATGTGCTCTGTGTCAGAGAGAGCCAAGTGTTGAGGATATAAAGAAAATTAAGCATCTCTATCCACTGAAGGAGAGGGACATGCAAATACATATTGATAAAGAGCTCAGAACCAAGGGCTATGAGAGATAGAACAATGAATCAAGCCTGCGTGGTGGTGGTGTCGCATAGCCGAAATGACTTCAAAATTCATTCAGAAAGATGAGTAGGAGGTTGTTGGGGCAGAGACAGAATGAGGACTCTCTGTAAAAAGGGAAGAAATTCTACAAAGGCCAGAATTATGAAGAGTGTGGCATGTTCAGGAGACTGGAGAGCAGGAGAGAGGAGGGTGGGAGCGTGAAGGAAGGGAACGTGGCAGAAGAGCTTATTCCCGTTCTTACAAACCAGGTAAAGGAGATTGAGCTTATACTGCAGGCAATGGGAAGCCAACACAGGCCCTTAGGCAGGAAGCGAGACATTCATCTTCACAGGTGATAGTAATAGATGGAAGCAGGAAACAAGGTGGGAAATTAGGAAATTCCAGTTCAGGCGAAGAGGATGGATCAATAGAACCTAGAGCCAGACGAAAAGTGGCACTGGGAATAATGAGGTTTCCAATGGAATATATTCAGGGTGAGGTGTTACAGATGAGCAGAAACAGAGAACGTGAAAGCTTAAAGGATTTCTGTGTAGAAAATCACAAGTCCTGTTTAGGACGATGGTAAGGGGTGATGGAACAGGCCATCCAATGATCATGGCCTGGAATAAGGCTGCAGCTATAAACCAAAGGACTGTCAAACTTGATGTTTACACACTACTCTCAGTAAGCTTTAAGGATATGCTCTTTATGTTTATTCATTTATTTAAAAAATCTTTCCATGTAGTACTGTACTAATATAAGCATTATGACCAATGCACAAAAAATAACACAAAAAGATGTGATAGAAAAGAAAGACTTCCTAACGATGAATAGGCTGAAGATATTAAAAGATATTTCAAGGTGCTACATTTTAAATGGTTTGTATCATAAAACATGGGTCTACATGGTTTTCCAGGAAGGGAAAATTTTCACTCACTTATAAAATAATCAAAAATGAAAGTCCAGTTTAAGAAGGCTTTAAAAATTATACTTCGAGCCCCAGATATGATTTGTTTACGTACACAGTCCTAGCATACATGTGATCCCATTTTGTCTGACTGTGGCATTCTAAGAAGCCTATAAGAAAACAAATGGAATCTGAAATCCAGTTCTCACCTTGGCTTTTCCAAGCATAGTTATTTTATCCCGTAGTTCCGCATGCTGCCTTTCTGACTCATTTAGGTTGGCTTCCATGCTGTCCATCCAACCGGAGAACTGTCGAACGTCATCCTGATAGCTTGTCCATTTGGAGAGAGCACCTTCGAGTTGACTGAAAGGGATTTGAAAATGAGGGAATGTGTTCTCTTTCTGGGTCCACGAGGGGGCGTAGTTTTAAGGGCAAGAATTTCCCAGCACCATGTCCCCTGCTCATCTCTGTCCATCCAGGAGATTTAATGGTTTATGTTTGAAATTCGCGGGCGCAGGAAGAAACTAAGAGTCAATCACTCCAGCAGAAGTTTAAAGGAACTCCTTTCATTGGCCCGGGGTCTTAGAGAAGGTGGGGGTTCCTCCTAGGTTAAAAGTTCCCTTCTTCCACACCCCTTTGGACTCCATGTTTGGGTCCCCTTCCACAAACACTCTAGTGGGAGCTGTTTTTCTATCCTGGATTTTCCCTCTGGAGTCCCCTTCCACACTCTCTTGTGGAAGCCTGTCTTCCCCTCCTAAACTCCATCTCTCTCTCTATTCCCTTCCACTCAGCATGGAACCTGCTTTCCTCTCCTGGATTCCATCTTTCTGGATTCTCTCACTCAGTGTGAGAGAAGCTTTCCTTCTTTGGTTTTGCCCCTCTAGGAACCCTTCTCACGCAGTGTGAGAGCGGCTTTTCTTTCTCTCACTCCATGTGAGAGTTAGATGTTGCTCTCTCCTCCTTTTTCTCTCTCTAAATAAATCACTTTCTACAAACACTTTTGAGTCCGGCATTTACTGCGTACTGTGCCATGGTCCCTTCTCTCATTCTTGAGAGGGCAGGAGACCAAGAACCTGGAGAAACATCCTCTCACAGGAGCTGAGGGCACCCTGAACCCCTGAACCCCAGTATTAGAGAAGGACAATCAATCCCCATTGAAAATCCTTATGAGTCTAAAATCTGTCATTGTGTCTGCTCCATCCATTCCAGTCAGCAGGGCGTCAAGAGATCAGGAAGAAGCTGGTTTGGGAGTGAGCAGGCTGCCCAGGGCTTAACGACATTGACCTCAGATCTGAAGGATAGCCTCAGGAAGCAAGGGACAGCTAAACCCAGGCCAATATGCAGAAACTTGGAACTGGCTATCAACTGAAGAGTCAGTGGCCTGGGGGACGCCCAAACTGGGAGAGGCTCAAAGGCGAAACTGGGGCCCTTGAGTGGGTCTGCCCTGGAGCCAAAGCTCTCGGCAGGGAGAGAAGCAGCACTTAACTCTTATCAAATTGAGCAGCACATTCAGAGCAGGGGAGAAGAATAAGCACAGTAACTACCTTGTGTAAGATTAAAACTCAGAAAATCACAATGAAATAAAAGGACAATATTTCCTGACTTGGTCTAAATATTAAAACTTAATTAACTCATAGATAAGTTAGCACCTCCTTGTCTCAATGCACAGGCTATATTTTAAATTCCATTCACCATTTCTGCCTAATTGTGCTGCCAGGTTTTGGGTCCTTTTGCAACAGACTCTATAAATGTTCCATCCATCTTCATCCCCAGATCACACCACTGCATGGGGCCAACTGGACTTCTAATTGCTCTTAGATCTCTTAGCTTGAAGATGTTCTCTAGCCCCTGATATATTCTTAGTTTAAGGGCAATGTAGGCAAGAAGTGCCAGGGGAGCCTCACCCTGACGGCAGCTCTCAACTGCTCTCCTAAATCATAGGAGTTTGTTTCCAAATACCGCAGCTCCCCTGCCCCTGGATGGGATAACCGAGGCTCACACTACAAACAGGCTTCCAGCATTGCCTGCAGTTGCTCACAATGGTGGGCAACTTGCTTGATAACATACCTGATATGGTTAGGCTTTGTGTTCCCACCCAAATGTCATCTTGAATCGTAGTTCCCATAATCCCCACGTGTAGCGGGAGGGACCCAATGGGAGGTAATTGAATCATGGAGGTGGTTATCCCCACGCTGGTCTCGAGATACTGAGTGAGTTCTCACGAGATCTGATGGTTTTATAAGGGGCTTTTCCCTCTTTGCTCGCACTTGTCTGTCTTGCTGCCATGTGAAGAAGGATGTGTTTGCTTCCCCTTCCTCCATGATTGTAAATTTCCTGAGGCCTCCCCAGCCATGCAGAACTGTGAGCCAATTAAACCTCTTTCCTTTATAAGCTATCCAGTTTCAGGAATGCGTTCATAGCAGCGTGAGAACGGGCAAATACAACACCCTTTACTTACTGCCCTCCCCTGCCTGCCATTTCTTTTCTAGTCTTCTATTTATGTTTCCTGGGTTTACCTCTGAAGTCCACTACTTGGTTTTAATCCCTATATTTTTACCTTATGAATTTTTTTTTTTTTTTGTATTTTTATGTTAGTAACAACAACAAAAAGAAACATGCATTTTTAGTTCTATTAACAAGTAGGTACAGCATTCAGGTCAATCTAAATATGAGATTACAACTGCCAGTTTCTTTTGTTCTAATAAGAAAAAAGAAAAGTAAATCAGACAGGACAGAAAAGCGGGGGAGGAAGGAAGGAAAGAAGAAAGAAAAGAAAAAGGAAGGGAAGGGGAGGGGAGGGGAGTGGAGGCGACGGGAGGGAAGGGAAGGGAAGGGAAAGAAGGCAACAGGAATAGTCTGTTCAGTAGTATTATATTGATCATTTAGTAATAGCTTCCCCGTGCTTGGCTGTAGTTTTCCTCACCTTTTACAACGAATCCCTGCAGACAAAAGGGATGCCCACATATCCTTCACACTCTGCAGTTGTTGCTGAATAGTGGGAATGCCTTCTGGAGAGGTATTCTGAAGGACAGATTCTCCCCTGGTCACTATCATTTTCATCTGAATCTCTTTTTCCTGTTTGACTGATAAGAGAGCCTGTGAAAACAAATACACAAGTCCTTTGTCATTTGTATGTTTAACATTTCTGGCTTTAAGTATTGCAGAACTCTTAAAGATTGCAGAATAATATTGAATTGTGTCCAGTCCTGAAGCTCCCAGTTGGCTGAAATGGAGTGTGGGGACGTGGCTTGCTGGTGAGTACCAGTCACCAGCTACCCACTGGTCTTTACTAAGTGGACTTGGTGTTGAAAGTCTCCAGTCTTCTCTGAATAATCCCTTACTTCCAATGAAGTTTTACTTTAGTGTTTTTAACAAGGGAAATTATACTACAGTAAGATTCATGATTTCTCAAAGGATGAAGAGCTTATAAATGTTATGGCCTGTACAACAACCACAAAACCTATAGAAATAGATTATATATTTCCAGTTCTTCATAAGTACATTCTTTTTCTATGTGAGAAGGAAGTTTCTCCTTTTTCTTTTTTTGAAACAGAGTCTATCTCTGTCTCCCAGGCTTCAGTGCAGTGGTGTAATCATAACTCGCTGCAGTCTTGAGCCCCTGGGATCAAGTGATCCTTCCAGCTCAGTCTTCCTGCTAGGTGGGGCTACAGGCACATGTCATTATGCCCAGCTAATTAAAAAAAATTTTTTTGTGTGTAAAGATGGGGTCTCAGTATATTGCCCAGCCTGGTGTTGAATTCCTGGGCTCAAGGAATCCTTCTACCTCAGCCTACCAAAGTGCTGGGATTATAAGTGTGAGCCACTGTGTCCAGCCAGAAGGAAGTTATAATTCCAAGTTATATTGCCGGAAAGCTGGCTGAATAAGAACAGCTCCAGTACACTGCTCCCAGTGAGACTGATGCAGAAGGTGGGTAATCTCCGCATTTCCAACTAAGGTACCTGGCTCATTTCATTGGGACTTGTTGGGAAGTGAGTGCAGGCCAAGGAGGGTAAGCCAAAGCAGGGTGGGGTGTTGCCTCATCCAGGAAGTGCAAGGGACTGGGGAGCTCCCTCTCCTAGTCAAGGGAAGCCATTAGGGACTATCCCTTGCACTCTGGTCCAGATACTGGGCTTTTTCCATGGTCTTCACAACCCCGCAGATCAGGAGGTTCCCTCCAGAACCTACAATACCAGGGCCCTGGGTTTCCAGCACAAAATTGGGCAGCCATTTGGGAAAACACTGAGCTAGCTGCAGTGGGGTTTTCTTTTTTTACACCCCACTGGCACCTGGGTCAGGGAGATAGAACTGTTTACTTCCCTGGAAAACAGGCTGAAGCCAGGGAGGCAAGTGATTGGTCTTGGCAGGACCCACCCCTGCAAAGACCAGAAAGCTAAGACCCATTGGCTTGAAATTCTTGTAGCCAGCACAGCAGTCTGAGCTCGACCTGGGATGTTTGAGCTTGGTGGGGGGAGGGGCGTCCACCATTGCTGAGGCTTGAGTAGGTGGTTTTAACATCACAGTGTGAAAAAAGTCGCTGGGAAGTTTGAAGTGGGTGGAGCCCATGGCTGCTCAGCCAGGCCTGTGTCACTAGACTTCCTCCTTGCTGGGCAGGGCATCTCTGAAAAAAGGCAGCAGCCTGTAAGGGACTTATAAATAATGCCCCCACCTTCCTGGGACAGAGCACCTGGGAAAAGGGGCAGTTGTGGGTACAGCTTCAGCAGACATAAACATCCTTGCCTGGCAGCTCTGAAGAGAGCACTGGATCTCCCAGCACAGCATTCGAGCTCTGACAAGGGACAGACTGCCTCCTCAAGTGGCTCCCTGACCCCCATGTATCCTGACTGGGAGCATACAGGAGAGCTCTGGCTGGCATCTGGTTGATACCCTTCTGGGACGAAACAAGAAGCAATCTTTGATGTTCTGCAGGCCCCACCGGTGATTCCCAGGCAAGCAGGGTCTGGAGTGGACCTCCAGCAAGCTCCCAACAGATCTGCAGCAGAGCGACCTGACTATTAGAAGGAAAACTAACAAACAGAAAGGAATAGTTTCAGCATCAATAGAAAGGAAGTCCACTCAGAGGCCCCATCCAAAGGTCACTGATTTCAAAGATCAAAGGTAGATAAATCCACGAAGATGGGAAGAAAACAGCGCAAAAAGGCTGAAAATTCCAAAAACCAGAACACCTCTTCTGCTCCAAGGGATCACAATTCCTTGCCAGCAAGGGAACAAAACTGGATGGAGAGTGAGTTTGATGAATGGACAGAAGCATGCTTCAGAAAGTGGGTAATAACAAACTTCTCTGAGCTAAAGGAGCATGTTCTAACCCAATGCAAGGAAGCTAACAAAGTTGAAAAAAGGTTAGACGAAATGCTAAGTAGAATAAACAGTTTAGAGAAGAACATAAATGAGATGACGTAGCTGAAAAACACAGCATAAGAACTTTGTAGCATTCACAAGTTTCAAGAGCCGAATTGATCAAGGAGAAAAAAGAGTATCAGAAATAGAAGATCAATTCAATGAAATAAAGCAAGACAATATTAGAGAAAAAAGAGTAAAAAGAAATGAACAAAGCCTCCAAGAAATATGGGATTACATGTAAAGACAAATCTACATTTGATTGGTATATCTGAAAATGATGGGAAGAATGAAACTAAGTTGGAAAACACTCTTCAGGATATTATCCAAGAGAACTTCCCCAACCTAGAAAGACAGGCCAACATTCAAATTCAAGAATACAGAGGACACCACAAAGATACTCCTTGAGAAGAGCAATCCCAAGACACATATTTATCAGATTCACCAGAGTTGAAATGAAGGAAAAAATGCTAAGGGCAGTCAGAGAGAAAGGTTAGGTTACTCACAAAGGGAAGCCCATCAGACTCACAGTGGATCTCTTGGCAGAAACCCTACAAGCCAGAAGAGAGTGGGTGCCAATATTCAACATTCTTGAAGGAAAGAATTTTCAAACCAAAATTTCGTATCCAGCCAAACCACGCTGCATAAGTGAAGGAGAAATAAAATCCTTTATGGACAAGAACCGCTGAGAGATTTTGTCACCACCAGGCCTGCCTTACAAGAGCTCCAGAAGGAAGCACTAAACATGGAAAGGAAAAACCAGTACCAGCCACTGCAAAAGCATACCAAATTGTAAAGATCATCAATGCTATGAAGAAACTACATCAACTAATGGGCAAAATTACCAGCTAGCATCATAATGGCAGGATCAAATTCACACATAACAATATTCAGCTTAAATGTAAATGGGCTAAATGCCCCATTTAAAAGACACAAACTGGCAAATTGGATAAAGAGTCAAGACCCATCAGTGTGTTGTGTTCAGGATACCCACCTCACATGCAAAGACTCATAGGCTCAAAATAAAGGGATGAGGAATATTTACCAAGCAAATAGAAAGAAAAAAAAAGCAGGGGTTGCGATCCTAGTCTCTGATAAAACAGACTTTAAACCAACAAAGATCAAAAGAGACAAAGGCATTACAATATGGTGAAGAGCTCAATGCAACAAGAAGGACTAACTATCCTAAATACATATGTACCCAATACAGGAGCACCTAGATTCATAAAGCAAGTTCTTAGAGACCTAAAAAGAGACTTAGACTCCCACACAGTAACAGTGGGAGACTTTAATACCCCACTGTCAATATTAGACAGATCAAAGAGACAGAAAATTAACAAGGATATCCAGGACTTGAACTCAGATCTGGACCAAGTGGATCTAATAGACACCTACAGAACTTTCCACCCCAAATCAACAGAATAAATATTCTTTTCAGTACCACATCACTTAATCTAAAATTGACCACATAATTGGAAGTAAAACACTCCTCTGCAAATGCAAAAGAATGGAAATCATAACAGTCTCTCAGAACACACTGCAATCAAATTAGAACTCAGGATTAAGAAATGCACTCAAAACTGCACAGTTACATGGAAACTGAACAACCTGCCCCTGAATGATTACTGAATAAACCACAAAATAAAGGCAGAAATAAAGATGTTCTTTGAAACCAATGAGAATGAAGACACAAGGTATCAGGATCTCTGGGACACATTTAAAGCAGTATGTAGAGGGAAATTTATAGCACTAAATGCCGACAAAAGAAAGGAGGAAAGATCTAAAATCAACAGCCTAATGTCACAATTGAGAGGACTAGAGGATCAAGAAGAAACAAATTCAAAAGGTAGCAGAAGACAAGAAATAACTAAGATCAGAGCACAACTGAAAGAGACAGAGACATAAAAAACCCTTCAAAAAAACAGATGAATCCAGGAGCTGGTTTTTTGAAAAGATCAACAAAATAGACCACTAGCCAGACTAACAAAGAAGAAAAGGCAGAAGAATCAAATAGGTGCAATAAAAAATGATGAAGGGGATATCACCACCAATCCCACAGAAATGCAAACTACCATCAGAGTATACTATAAACACCTCTATGCAAATAAACCAGTAAATCTAGAAGAAATGAATAAATTCCTGGACACTTACACCCTCCCAAGGCTAAACCAGGAAGAAGTTGAATCCCTGAATAGACCAATTACAAGATCTGTAATTGAGGCAGCAATTAATAGCTTACCAACCAAAAAAAGTCCAGGACCAGACAGATTCACAGCCGAATTCTACCAGAGGTACAAAGAGGAGCTGGTACCATTCCTTCTGAAACTATTCCAAACGGCAGAAAAAGAGGAAATCCTCCCTAACTCATTTTATGAGGCCAACATCATCCTGATACCAAAACCTAGCAGAGACACAACTAAAAAAGAAAATTCATCCAATATTCCTGATGATCATTGTTGCAAAAATCTTCAATAAAATACTGGCAAACAGAATCCAACAGCACATCAAAAAGCTTATCCATCATGATCAAGTTGGCTTCATCTCTGGGAGGCAAGGCTGATTCAACATACACAAATCTATAAACGTAATCCAACAAAACCAAAGACCACATGATTATTTCAATACATGCAGAGAAGGCCTTTGACAAAATTCAGCAGTCCTTTATGCTAAAAACTCTCAATAAAATAGGTATTGATGGGATGTATCTCAAAATTATAAGAGCTATTTATGACAAACCCACAGCCTATATCACACGGAATGGGCAAAAAATGAGAGCATTCTCTTTGAAACCTGGCACAAGACAAGGATGCCCTCACTCACCACTCCTATTCAACATAGTATTGGAACTTCTGGCCAGGGCAATCAGGCAAGAAAAAGAAATAATGGGTATTCAATTAGGAAAAGAGGAAGTAAAATTGTCTCTATTTGCAGATGACAATATTGTGTATTTAGAAGACCCATCATCTCAGCCCCAAATCTCCTCAAGCTGATAAACAACTTCAGCAAAGTCTCAGAATATAAAATCAATGTACGAAAATCAAAATCATTCCTATACACCAATAACAGACAAACAGAGAGCCAAATCATGAGTGAACTCCCATTCACAATTGCTAAAGAGAATAAAATACCTAGGAATACAACTAACAAGGGATGTGAAGAACCTCTTCAAGGAGAACTATAAACTGCTGCTCAAGGAAATCAGAGTGAACACAACAAATGGAAAAACATTTCATGCTCATGGTTAGAAAGAATCAATATTGTAAAAATGGCCATACTGGCCAAAAAGAGCCTGCATAGCCAAGACAATCCTAAGGAAAAAAAAAAAAAAAAAAAAAAAGCTAGAGGTATCACACTACCTGACTTCAAACTATACTACAACGCTACAGTAATCAGAACAGCATGCTACTGGTACCAAAATAGAGATATAGACCAATGGAACAGAACAGAGGGCTCAGATGTAATGCCACACATCTACAACCATCTGATCTTTGACAAACCTGACAAAAACAAGCAATGGGGAAAGCATTCCCTATTTAATAAACGGGAAAACTGGCTAGCCATATGCAGAAAGTGGAAACTGTATCCCTTCCTTACACCTTATACAAAAATTAACTCCAGATGGATTAAAGATTTAAACATAAAACCTAACACCATAAAAACCCTGGAAGAAAACATAGGCAATACCATTCAGGACATAGACATGGGCAAGGACTTCATGACTAAAACACCAAAAGCAATGGAAATGAAAGCCAAAATAGACAAATGGGATCTAATTAAACTAAAGAGTTTCTGCACAGCAAAAGAAATTATCATTAGAGTGACTGGAAACCAACAGAATGGGAGAGAATTTTTGCAATGTACTCATCTGACAAAGGGCTAATATCCAGAATCTACAAAGAACTTAAATTTACATGGAAAAAACAAACAAGCCCATTAAAAAGTGGGAGAAAAATATGAACAGACACTTCTCAAAAGAAGACAGTCATGCAGACCACAAACATATGAAAAATAGCTCATCATCACTGGTCACTAGAGAAAAGCAAATCAAAACCACAAGGAGATACCATCTCACACCAGTTAGAATTGCGATCATTAAAAAATCAGGAGACAACAGATGCTGGAGAGGATGTGGAGAAATAGAAACACTTTTACACTGTTGGTGAGAGTGTAAATTAGTTCAACCATTGTGGAAGACAGTACGGCAATTCCTCAAGGATCTAGAGCTAAAAATACCATTTGACCCAGTAATCCCATTACTAGATATATTCCCAAAGGATTATAAATCATTCTATTATAAAGACACATGCACATGTATGTTTATTGTGGTATTGTTCATAATAGCAAAGACTTTGAACCCAATCTAAATGCCCATCAATGATAGACTGGATAAAGAAAATGTGGCACATATACACAATGGAATACTATGAAGCCACAAATAAGTTTATGTCTTTTGCAGGGACACGGATGAAGCTGGAAACCATTATTCTCAGCAAACTAACACAAGAATAGAAAACCAAACACTGCATGTCCTTACTCATAAGTGGGAGTTGAACAATGAGAACACATGGACACAAGGAGGGGAACGTCACATATCGGAGCCTGTTAGGGGGTGGAGGCCTATAGCATTAAGAGAATTACCTAATGTAGATGACAGGGTGATAGATTCAGCAAACCACCATGACACATGTATAACTACGTAACCAACCTGCACATTCTTCACATGTACCTCTGAACTTAAAGTATAATAATAAAAAAAACTGATCATATCACCTAAAAGACAAAGCTTCATCTCTCTTTATAATGTGGTTCTTGCCAACTTCCAAAGCATCAGCTTCAGCCATCCATTGCTGCCTGTTTCTGCTGTAGCAATAAGCAGCTGCCAGCAATTTCTCACACACTATGCTGTTCTTTCCTCTGGCTTTTCCTCACACTTTTCCACCTCTCTGCCACCATTCCCAAGTCTTCACTCTGTTATCTTTGCCAAAATAATTCCCTCTGTCATTCTTAAAAACTTGGTTTTGGCCAGGTGTGGCAGCACACAATTGTAATCCCAGCACTCTGGGAGGCCAAGGTGGGTGGCTCACCTGAGGTCAAGAGTTTGAGACCAGCTTGACCAACATGGAGAAACCCCATCTCTACTTAAAATACAAAATTGGCCAGGCGTAGTGGTGCATGCCTGTAATCCTAGCTACTCAGGAGGCAGAGGCAGGAGAATTGCTTGAACCCGGGAGGTGGAGGTTGCAGTGAGCTGAGATGGCGCCATTGTACTCCAGCATGGGCAACAAGAGCAAAACTCTATCTCAAAAAACAAAACAAAACAAAACTCGGTTTTAGCAGGGTACAGTGGCTCACATAGATAATCGTACTTTGGGAGGACAAGGCAGGGAAATTGCTTGAGTTTAGGAGTTCCAGAGTAGCCTAGGCAAGAAGGCAAGACTCTGTGTTAGTTTTATTAAGAAAAAGTTTTTTTAAACCCCACACAACTTGGTTTAGCTATCACGCTTCCTAAAAAACCTGTCCCAACTTTCAACCCCACCTCTCCTGCGTGGGTCCACTCCTGTGTGTGTCTATAACACCATAAGCACATCTGTATCTGTGGTTATTATCTTCTGTATATCAACCTCTAACCTCAGACAGTAAAATCCTTGAGGAAAAAGACTATGTTATTCACCTCTGATTCCCTGGTGTCAAGACAGAGCACTAGTCTCCTAGAAAGCAGCCAGTCTACAAATTAATGCAGATTCATTATTTTTATCACAAATGCAAAATTGAACTCGTATCTTGGGATGGGAGGAGAACTGGCTAAATATAGGAAAACAAGTGAGTTGAATAAGATGGAAAATGTTTTGCCCTATAAAATGTTTCTTTAAAATATTTTCCCATACTAAATACACCTTTGATCTAATTCAAAACTAGCCTCTTAACAAGTGATCACACAAGTAATCACATTTGGGCTTTATTTTACAGTATTTTTGGAAAGCATCTGGGGTCAGATGATTCAGGAATGCTGAGGCATGTCCACCCAAGGCAGATGGGATTACACTCACAAAGCATGTGATATTTCCCATGGAGAGAATGTGACATCGTCACTCCAGGTGGATGGAGACGGGAAATTTTGAGAACAAATTCTGTAGGTTGGAGATATTTCTATCTAAAGATGCACACCTCAAGCTTGAGCGTCCTGCTGTCCAGCACACTTTTGTCGGACGTCGGGTGGCAGTATGAATCCAGCATGTGAATCGCATCCGTCATCCAGTCTTGTAATTCTTTAATCCCGAGAGAGAACTGATTGTGTTCTGCGACAATTCTATCCAGTCTTGACACTTTCTCCTGGAAATGACAGAAATGGTTTTTGAGCTGTCCATCCCACAGAGACAAATTATAAAGCTAACGGTTTGTTTGAAACAATGGCAATCAGTCATGGCTTCATATACTGCACAGACATGAGGCAAGTCTTTCCTAATTCTGCAAAATATGTCAAAGATCTTTCTAAATCATAAAACTATTAGAATAACTGGGTCAAAAGCAAAAAAAAAAAAAAAAAAAAAAAGTAAAAAATTAAAAAATTACTACTTCTTTTTTTTTTTTTTTTT